AACAAAAGAAGATAAAGCAGTTAAACAGCAACAACAGCAATAAACATACAAAAAAATAAGTGGTTTATTTAAGAATATTGAAAGAATTGAGTATAAAGGTTTATTGAACAGCAGCCGATAGTGAAGTGCTGTAACAAAAAATAAAGCAGCGGTGATATAAATATATAAAAAGGTAATTCATCAGAGGACGTTGCCCGTTGCTGTTGTTGTCGTCTTTTTTCTTCTTCTTCTTCTTTTTGTACAATGTTTGAGTGTGAGGCTGACGGAGAGGATCAGAGCTCGGGTACCACCAAACACTGTGCAACAGCTCAAAACAAACTTCTTGGTACCTGTCTGTCAAAAGTGTATTACTTGTCGTTTTTTTTTTCCTTCTCAATCAGTTTTGCTGGACTTCTTAAATCAGTTTTTTCCTTCTTTTCTTTTTTTTTTTTTTTGCTACACATCAGGCGGAACTATAGAGCTAAACCGAAAATAAAAAGATGAAAATAGAAATAGACATGAGGGATAAGTAAGAAGGAGAAAAGGAAACATGAAGTGGCTAAGGGAAAGGCAAATGAGAGGAAGTGGTGAAAAAACAAAAAAGTTTGGGCGGTTAAGCAAAATAAAAAGAAAAAAAAAAAGAACAGTAAAAATAAATAAAGTAGTCTGATATTAAAGACTAAATTTTTTTTCTTGCTTTACTTAAGAATTGACTTTACACGTACTGTAGAAAAAACAAAAAAAAAAAGTTAAGAAATTAATGTTTTTTTTTTTTCTCCAATTTATAAATACATAAAACTTTGTGGTTTAATAAATAACGTAAAATTTCTTAAAACATTCAATCAATCACTGCTGTTGACATCAATTTTAGTTGATTTAGACATTATTCACCACAATGATCGACACCATTCCATTAGTTTCTATGTTTGCTGTTGGTCATTGATTTGATTATATGCAAAAATGTATTTTTTTGAGGTAAAATATTGAACAAGTAAAACAAGTTAAAAAAAAAAAGAATAAGAAAATAAAATTTATTTCCCTGCAAACATCAAAAACAAATAGTCAAATTGTTTTGCTATAATAATAATGTACAATAAATAATCTGCAAATAAATCATTTTTTTTTTTTTGTTCTTTTGCAACCACTTTTTGTTTGTTTGTTTGTTTTTTCCTTTTCAAATTATTAATTATACAGTTTATATCAATAAACAAAAAAAAAAAA